CTAGGTCGTAAATGGCAGCTGCTTAGCAATTTCACAAATAACTCTTTCAACGAAGCAGCTTTGCCATTCTGGAAAATCAAACAGTCAAAACCCCAAAGAATAACATGTTAAAGACACGTGTCTTTACAGCAAATATTAAAATATTTTATTAAAATAAAAATAATCAAGAAAGATTACTGAATGTACACGTTATTGATAGCCGTAGTGCTTACATTTGAACACAAATAGTAATCTTTTTTGTTCTTATTTGAACTGGAATTTATAAAGTTATTTTCTTGCTTCAGGCGTCCATGGTTGACTTTGTGACTAACTTGTTTGTGGTCAAACAGAAGGGCTGCTATTTTTTTCCTCATGCTGCTGCATTGTTTCTTGCAGCTGATCCCACTCTTCTTCTTCATTGGCGGAGGTACAGTCATGTCCTTGATGTACCTGGCTCGCCTGGGACTGAGGAACCCAGATGTCTGGTAAATATGCTACCCACATTACAAGGCATTTTAAACCCACTGACATGTCCTTCTAGCCCTATTGTTACCTATACCAATTTAGATTCTATATAGAGCCTTTCAAGGGATAAAAGGTTCCTTCACATGGACTCATGGGGTAATTAAACATTGAGCCTGTTCGGAGCTTATAGGGAGTGTCCAAAGTTTAGTCGTTTTTAACAATAATAAATACTAACTCCAAGACAGTTATCGAATAAACCTATATTCATCTGGCAACGGGTGGAAAATAAGGGTTTACGGTCTGAAATCTTAGCTCCCCAAATGTGGTACGATTTAGGAGTCTGAGCGTGATGTTTTGGAAAAATATACCAAGGGAAATTTATACTATGTATTGTCTTGAGATTTCAGCTCAGTAAACCTCATACGACAAAACTAGCTCCAAATTACAAACAACTGTGTAGTGTACCAGTGTTGACAAAATGAAAAGTGTATTGATAACCTTTGGCATGTGTGTAGTGCAATAAGTATTTCATGCACAAATAAATTTTCCAAATAGATGCTTGCCTAAAGACACTTGAAAATTCCAGCAATACTTTAAAAATGAGACAAGTTGACAGTATTGCTACGCAAACACGTTTTGTGCCATCTCCAATCTGTCATTGGTCTTTAAAGGGTTATTAACTTTTATTAATCTGAGTTATATTTAAGTGTTTTTACAGTCGTGTGATTAGAACGTCAATTTTCTCTTTTACTACGTTCATGCAAATTGGTCAATAGGTTCTTTTTGTTCATTGTCTGTTTTTATTGTGAAACACCCGTGCAAAGGTGCAATCCAAATAAAATGATCAGTTTTGATGGTTTGATTTGGTAACGGGATCATTTCGCGTTACATTGTTTCCAATTGGGAAACATTCACATTCCACTTAGGTAAGCGGCATCATATTTTTATTTTTGTCATGTGTAGACTGTACTGGAAATAGATTTTTTAAAATCATTTTTAATTTGACTTGTGCAGTTGGGATCGCAAGAACAACCCCGAGCCGTGGAACAAGATGGCCCCGACTGATCAGTACAAGGTTGGTTTGAAAAAAGATGTGTTGTATATTAATTGCGCATAGATGTATAAAAAAGAAAGGTTTCAGTGCAGTTGTTCTCATTGGTTGTTCGGCATGTGATATATGGTGGACCGTTTGAAATTGCTTTCTCTAATTTTATAACTCAAATATCAGTGTGAAGTTTGCCACTTCGTGTCAGGTTGGTTTTGAATTAAATTACAGGGGATCTGTGTGTCTGATGAAAATGACGAGACAACAGGTTAATGTTTCGATCATGAAAATGAATACTTTGCACAAGATCGTGTGGAACAAGGTGACACCGGCCAAGGATGACAGAAAATATTTTGGGACAAATCCAAGAATTTTCAATTTCCTAATTCAGTGGTTCTTAGTGAACCTCACTGCCACCAACAGGACCAGAGTGGAACTGTTGCCACCTCCATTTGAAATTGTCACATGAGAAGGGAGGGAAGGGAGCAAGCAGGTTGAGAGCTTTTGAGCCCACCCGTCTTCTCCGTTATGCTCTTCAGTTCTACGCAGTCAACATCGACTACAGCAAACTGAAGAAACAAGGGCCCGACTTCTAAAGCGTCTCTCATCTGCCGGACCAAACGCACAAGCACACTCTTGGACGCGTCGGGGTGCCAGCGGCGAAACCCGCACAATGTTTCATATTTAAGCTTCCTCATCGCATACCCCTTTTTTTGTTGAAAACACCGCTCGTCTTCAGTTTTGGCTGTGAGTCAATAAAGTGAAAGGAGACTTTTCTCCTCCTGACAAGAGAAAAGAATCTGTTTTTTTTTTAAATTATCTTTCTTTGTCCTTATGCAGCATGTTCAGTCTTGTTTGCCTTTTATTTGCTGGGTTTCATTTCATAATCCCTTCTCCTCATTTCACCTGCATCCTGCTCACTTCATTTGCCGCCATCCAGAAGCTTATCAGTCGAATGGGGTCACAAACGAACGGGGAGCGCTCTCTACGAAAATTGTCGCCAAGCATGTCGACAAAGGACGACTTACTTTTTATTGCATTTTTTTCATAGTAATAATTAAGTGGAGGAGAGAACGCGAGTGCTGTACCATTTCTTCTCCAGTCTGATAAGTTTGTAAATGTCAACATGTCGCCGTGTCTGAGGCCTTGCAGGGTGCGAGAAAGAGGCGACAAGCATGAGCAACTAACACGGCCGCCGCAAAATGTCAAGAAGACCTTTTGTGTTTGAACAGAAGCAGTCTGCTAAATCCGCCACCACCTTCTTCACTGACTTTTGGGAGCCCCTGTGCACAATATGGATTTTTATTATTATTTTTTTAATGTAAGATAAGTGCTTTTTAATGGTGTTGAGTCACAAAAAAAGGGCTTTTCCACCATGAATAGACCTGCAAAAAAAAATGAAGAAGCCAGCTTTTTAATGGTGTTGAGTCACAAAAAAAGGGCTTCTCCACCATAAATAGACCTGCAAAAAAAAAAAAAAAAAAGAAGCCATACCTGGAATTTCACAGGGAATCTTTTTTTTTGCCATCACCTCGGATCTTTTCAAAACCAACTCCTCATAAAGATTTTCTTTGTATGACTGTGAGGCGTCCAAAATACAAAATGGCGCCAATTTGTATTCGGCGGTCTGTATTTTAGCAGCCAGCGCCATATCTTAACAATTCTTAAAAATAGCATTGAAGAGAGGGGGGACTACTGTGGAAAGTGTGAAAACTACTGCCACAAATAATAAACTGGTTTTTATGTGCGTTAAAAAAAAAAATAGTATGTATGTGTATATATATATATATATATATATATATGTGTGTGTGTGTGTGTGTGTGTGTGTGTGTGTGTATGTATAGGTAAATGAGAAACAGTTATTGACACGTCTGTCCGAAAATCGGTCGCCGATAAACATTTTATTTTTATCCTCCAGAAAATAAAGTGCTTCTTAAAGTTGCTTGTTTTTTGTTTTTTGTTTTTTTTTCCGAATCACAAAGACTCTGGAAAGAAATGAAAGGAGTTGTCTTGTAACCACTTGACTCACCTCATGCTTTCCCACACAGGTCAGCAGGAAGTTCCCATCAATAGAATTGACCTTGAAAGAAGGGAAGGTGCACTTAGAGCTGTGGTGCCGTCCACCAATGGGGAACTCGATACAACTTCGGGTCATTGGTTTTGTTCGTCACTCAGTCCATACAGTAAATAATATTGAAAGAATCACGTTACAGCTCACCTGTGTTTTGGGTTTGGTCACGAGACATTTTTAATGCGAGCCCGAAGTTGGAGAAAAGCTACACTCTTAACGGGTGCAGCATGGAGTTTCACACAAGAGAGTTATGAGCCTCCAACTTTTTATCCATGATGTTTAAATTCACCATATAATCTCTCAAATGGCTTTTTTTATCAGCACTAATGATGATGATGATGATGTTTGATGTTGCCTTAAACAGGGGAGACAAAGAAGCATTCAAACACGCACACAAGCGCACACACACACGAGAGAGAGGAACAGGGGAGTTTGTCAAGGAACTTTCATCCCGACAAACTCTTATTGATCCTTGCGCATTGTCACGGGGGATGACAAAGTACCATTTTGCACGGCACACAGCGAAAGGTCACGGCTGTCGTATTTTCCTCATGAGGGATCACGGCAGAACGCAGCCGTTTAGCAACTGTTTCGATGGGAAACGGCGTCGGGATGAATCACCGACGTCTCAGGGACACCGAAGTTGGAGCGACGCGGTGGTGTTTTATGTAGCGTGTAGGGACGAGACGTGTCGAGGCCGCGGGTTTGATCCCGGAAACAATCAGTGCTGCATGAATAGTGTCCTCAGGCAAAAGCGCAGATGGTAGGTGTTTTGTGTTTTATGCGGCAGAGGGTAAATGTTCACTGGGAAAAGAGGCAAGTCAAGAACAAAAAAAAAAAAAAGTAACAGATCATACTCCTCCTTGTCATGGTGTCTGTTTTGATGATTTTCTTTTTTCTAGGCCAATGGACCCTAACCCATGATTCTGATCTGATCTAAAATTGTTTATTAACGATGGACCATCCTTGGTTGGGTTATGCTAAATTGGGGAAAGAGTGAGGTTTGGGGATTGTATGTGGGAGTAGCAAAGCGATGAATTTTGATAAATCGCCTTGAACTCAAAACTAGTCATAATTTGAACTATGAATCCTGGATTGATGGGTGACATGAAATTGCAATGAGGTTGAGATCTTTTCGACTTGTGTGGATGGAGCATGATGGCGACCTTTGATCAATCAAAATCAACACAAAATTCTCGAAAGAACTCATCATTTATTGCACCCCTGGCCTGAATGTTCAAATTAATCACCAGTTTCAATTGGTAGTATCACTTTCGGTTGGGTATGAGTGAACCCACAAAAATGTTTCCAAAAGCTGTTTTGGTTTTCGGTGGCCTGTCTGTGCCCTTTCATTGACTGGCGACCGGTCCAGGGTGTAGTATAGTGATAGGCTTAAGATTTCTGCCACCCTAAACAGGATAAAACGTGAAGAAAAAGAAAGGCTGGGGAAAAAAGAAAACAATATCCCCACCTCCCCCCACCACCACCACCACTAGAAAGCAGGTCAGAATTTAAATAGCTGAAAATAGAACATCTGGTTGGGCCTTGTCAGTCAGCGACGTGTAATGAAATATGGAAATTCGGCACTCTTCAAAGAGAAGACACGGGGCCTCTTGGTGGCAAGGTCTCCAACAACCTCCCCGCCCCCCTTCCCCCACCAGTACCCTGCTCAGCCCTGCCCTCTTGCAAAAAAGAGTGCTACTCCAGGTGTGGCCGCCGTGGCTCAGTCCGCCGCCGGTGCCAGCTCGTTAGCACTCGCAGCCTGGCGGAGTTGGCAGCTGGCATCATTAAACTTCAAACCTGCTTTCGACCCGGGGCGCCGCCGCGGGGAGAGACCACCCCCACCCCCTCCCCGCATCCTATGTACACCCTTTCCGCATATACCCACTACCACCCTCCCGCCACTCGTGTGGCTGCTGACAGCTGATTAGCGACACGACAGACGAACGAAAACATGACAAGTCAAACACCAGGTGGAGTCTTGATGTCAGTTTTGTGTATCAGTCACTACAGAATGAACGGCGATTTCATCACTCTTTTCTGTATGTGTAGAAAGTTGATGACAGGCATGCTTCTGGCAGTAATTTGAAAGCCGTTTTTCTTCCATATGCACGAATCTTGAAAGTTTTGCATCAGTCGCTGCAGTGGAGAGCTTTTTAAAAACTGTTCCTTTCCATCTACAAAGAGTCTTTATCTCAAAAGTCGTACCAGAAAAAAACAATGTCTTCCATCGGCATGCATCCTAATGGCAAGCCTCAAGATCACAAGTGCCGACCAGTGGGTGGCAGTGGACACTCATGCATATCGAAGCAAAACATCCTCGAATAGTAGTACACTGTAGTGACTGATGATGATAACCATCAAGACTGTGTGTATATTTGAAGAGTTTTTCTTTATCCTGAAACTAGGAATTTTTGTCTAATCGCCATAATGATGAGACAATGTTAAACCTAAGCTCTATACTGTATTTGCATTGTGATGACAAGTCAATTCAATACACAAAACTCATCTCTGTTGCGGCCTGGGTTTTATTCCCAGACAGGAAACTTTGTTTGGAGTGGCAGTTGTTGATCTGTAAGGACTTGGCTCTTTGAAATGGAGTCCAACCGCGGACAAATGGCAAAAGTAACTAGTCGTCTACTTCCTGACTACTGTATGTCCCCTTGGGCATGCAAGTCACTGACCTACCTCACTCCTGAGAGTTGACGATGGAAGTTCTTGCTGCTTTGAATGTGAACTCCCTCTTTTAGTGTTCCAAACATTATCCAAGAACTCCTTTGATGCATGTTGAACACAGGTCCCCCTTGATCAATTCCGCCCTTGTCTGACTTCATGGACATTAGAGGTGAGAAACGTTCTCTTTGGGGTTCATCGGAGGACACCGCAAGGCTTCTTCGGTGGCTGAACGGAGAGCGCGGCTTCACACTCGAAAGGAGTTTCTTTTTTTGAAGACGTCGCCGCCGCCAGTTGACTGTCCCCGAGAACAAAAGCGTCAGGGGCGCCCTTGGGAGCTCGTAATTCAGTGGCGCGCTTAACAAATAAGCTGCAGTGGCAACGGACTCAGGTGATGGAATTTATTCAGGCTCGGAAAATATAACGGAGAAGGCCTTCAATGAGGTGTGGAGGGAACATTTACCGGCGCCAGCATTTTCAAACCTAACTGGCTTTTTTTTTCTGTGTGTGTTTGTTTGGGAGCTACTTTTAACGAGCGCCTGTTGGATCATTGCAGCTAAATGAGCGGGAGGTTAATAGGAGGGCCAATGGAGAAAACCGGAGTGGGTGTCCGGCTCCTTCAAGGATTCCTAATGATCTCGCTGGGCTTGCATTGATCGGCAAAACGCTGACGTGGAGGTCACAGAGCTGTGTTCTCTTGACGCTTTGGGGTTACGACACCGTCCCAGGAGAGAGGACCGCTCGTCGCCTCAATTAAAAAACGCAGATGAAGACGAGCGTCGTCTTTGGCATGCTGTTGCGGCAACCTCCACTGGGGGGCAGCAGAGTGTAGTGAAGCTGTTGAAAGCGAGTGAGGCCTGTTGGACCAATGGAGAAATGAACCAAAGGCCTGGAAACTGCTGGTGTTGAGATCTAAAATGCGTATCAGTCACTACATGAACCACTGTTAAAAACTTTTTTTTTTAATAGGTGTGGAGTCTTGATATCGATATTGCACATCAGTGACTACAGTAGAAAGCTGTTGAAACACAGTTTACGTCAGTGTTTCACAT